TGGTTTTCTTGTCTCTGATAAGTGCTCTTCCACCCAAGTGAGCCAATTCAAGCCAGATTAGAGTTTATAAATGCTGGTTTATTGGGGGCAGCCAGCACTTGGCAGTCAGAAAGAGATGAAAAAGAGAAAGCAGAAAGAAAGAGAAGGGGAGAAAAGGGAACCAAAATGGTCTGTATTATATAGGGCAGCCTGGCCCCTGGGCTGGAAAGTTCAGGGTAGAGGGTAGGGTATGCCAGCCATGCCCTGTAACAGGCTGGGAGTGAAGGATGCTGGGAGAACCTAGGCACCAGGTCTGCTTTGGTATGTAAAGTTGTTATTAAAAAAGCATGAGGCTGGTCAACCGATATTCTATACAGGAAGTTTATTAGGAGGGTATGGAGGGAATGGGAAACAGGGCATGGTGGGGAGTGAGAAAGAAAGGAAAAGGGGGGGCACCCCAAGAGAGAGAGGGAGAGGGAGAGAGAGAGAGAGAAAGAGGAGAGTAAGAGTGTAAGAGAGAGACACGTGTCAGGTTGGCCCTGTCAGGGGCAAGGTAACCACGCCTTGATGACACATGATGACATCATAAGTTGCTGGGTAACCCAGGAGCAGGTTGTGACACATGATGACATCATAAGTTGCTGGGTAACCCAGGAGCAGGTTGTGTTCCAAAATGCTAACAAAAGTAGGCACCTCAGCTGCTTTTTCCGGGTCTGAATCCCAAAGGTCCCCACCCAGCCTCCCACCAGTACCATCCATTGTATCTAGGCTATTTTCTCCATAAGAAGCTGGCAGCCATGGCTGGGGAGGGGATGGGGGCCGTGGCTGGTAAGCCCAGCGGTTTGTATGAAAGTTTTTGGCTGGAAGTTTTTAAATGTAGGGAGCCTGCGGCAGTCAGCACAGGAGAGCTACCTGCAGGCCTTGACGATCACCTGTCCTCCATGGCGCCGAAGGATGCTTCCTCCTCCGTCTTCTAGGAGCACCCGTGTCTACTCTGACAGTAATTAATGAGCTTGTATAAAGCTTCCCCAGGCAGGCTGAGCACACGACTTCCCAGCTCTGTTAGGAAAACAGAACAGAATCGGTACGGCCTAATTAATTGGTCTTCAGGTAGTAACTACATCAAAGATAGCTTGGGTACCCTGGGAAGCCTGGGAGAGTCAACCAGCTCAAGATTGATGAAGGGCTGCTGAGGTCAGACTTCGAAACACAAAACCATCTGCCGACTCTCTGGGGCTCGTACCTGCAGAAAAGCAATTTTAGAAGAACAGGTGCTGGCTTTTAACTTAGCCCTTCTTTTCTTTTATGCTGAAATCATGACTTTAGCTGGGAAGAGCCTCCAGTTGGCTGAGGAGATTCACAAACTGTCTATTGTACCTTAAAATAACCCAGCCCAACGGTATTACAATAATCTCAACTGGCTGCTGCCTAAAGTCACCGACCGCATGTCCCTAGCCACGGCCACGCCAGCCTCCCCGAGTGTTAAACAGCCCCAGGACACAGCGACTCCCAGGCCTCATTCCAGAACACTAGCTAAGAAGCACCATCGCCCTCCAAATGGTGCCCAGCTGCAGAACAGAGCGTGTGGCCCTTCTCTGCGCAGCGTGGGTGAGAGCCCACACATGTCCTTGGAAGCTGACATGTACGTGTTTCTGGTCCCTTGTAAGTTTCTCCTGGCTCAGAATGTTTTCAGTTCGCTGTGATGATGATCCATGTGTTTGGAGAAAGTGGTTCAAAGACATCTTTGCTCCATTAAAACAAACAAACAAAAAAAGGAGCCGGTGATGGTGGCACACCCCTGTCATCCCAGCACTCGGGAGGCAGAGGCAGGTGGATCTCTTTGAGTTTAAGGCCAGCCTGGTCTCCAGAGCTAGATCCAGAACAGCCAGGGCCACACAGAGAAGCCCTGTCTAGAAAGAAACAACACAATAACAAAACCAACCAAACAAGGGGCCATGGAGACAGCTCAAACCCCAACCCCCCAATGGCATACCTTCTCCAACAAGGCTGTTTCTTCTAATCCTTCCCAGAACAGTTCCACCAACTAGGGACCGAGCATTCGCATCTACAAGCCTGCAGGCCCCATTCTCATTCTAACCACCACACACCTCACACACACACAGGCGCTGCCGTACACATCCACAAATAAAATGTAACAAGTTAAAGAAAGAAAGAATCTCCCTTGAGAAGAGAGACCCTCGTGTGTCCTGCTGACACAGGACCACCCTAGAAGCTGCTTCTCTGGGATTTGCTCATCTATACTCAGTACCCAGCACGTGGAGGCTGCTATAGCCTCCATCTAAGGCGCTCAGCTAGTGGTGGACCCCGTTGCTGCCCACATGGGCGCTGGCTTTGCAGGCATGGAGTTCCCGGGTTGTGAAGGGTTCCACCAGGATTTCTAAAGAAAGCCTGGCAAGCCCTCTAGTGTTCCTGAAGGCAGCCCCTTGGGGGGGGGGGTGGTCATGAGAAGTGATGATAGAAACCCCAGGAAGCGGGATATGTCAGTGACTCTGCAGTTGCTGAGTGGAGCGGCCGAGCAGAGTGGCCACCTGGGCACACAGCAAAGCCGTAGAGGCGGAGCTGCCCAAGCTCCATCATGCTACTGTGAACACCTACATCAGAGGCTGGACATGGGGCCACAGGATTTGCTCTTCGCTCAGCTGTGTCTCAGCCTTGCTTAGGCTCCTATTGGGGGCCAGGTTTTTGGGATGTCTATGCAAACCGGCCCTGACGTGCTGTTTCCACTTAATACTTCCTTGCCTTTATGGTGCTGTGAAAATGAGACACAGCTGGCAGAAAATGTACTTCAGATTCTGAATTTGGACCTTTCCCCCAAGAATAGAAACGTGTAGTTCTACCCTCACATGAGGCTGTCAGCCTGGCCAGTCACACGCTCTCGCTAGACAATGGGCACACTACAGCGCACTGGGTTCCAAGTGGGATGTTGCGGAAGGCGTTAGTGGCTTTTCTGTCGCTGTGATAAAACCCCATGACCACAAAGGACTCGTGGAAGAAAAGGGATTTGGGAACTTATAATCTTAAAGAGCCCCGCCAGGGTGGGGAGGCAAGGCAGCCCCCAGCAGGCACGTCAGGAGCAGGAAGCACAGAGCAAACAGGAAGAGGGGTGAGCACCGCCCTCGCTGAGCATCTGCCTGTGTCTGCTTCCGAGCACGGATGTTGGGCAGCTCACAAAACTGCACTCGTGTGCACAAGTCCCTACACAAACCCTCAAAAACACACCTGATTTTTATCATTTATTTACTCGGTGTTTGTGTGCTCCGGACCAGAATGCCCATGCAGAAGTCAGAGAAGACGTGGCAGTCAATCTGGCTTCCTACCAGGTGAGTCCTAGGGATCACACTCAGATGGCCAGGTTTGGTGGCAAGTGCCGTTGTCTGCTGAGCCACCTCACCCTCACTGGCCCTTACATTTATTTTATCTAGTTTTTGTGAGATGAGGTCTCATGTACCGAAAGCTGGCCTCAGGCTTATTACGTAGACAAAGATGACCTTGACCCTCTGTTCCTCCTGCTTCTGCCTCTTGAGTGCTAGGATACAGGCTTGAGCCACCAAGCCTGGTTTCCTGGGTGGTAGAGCTTGAACTCAGAGCCCTGCACATGTTGTGCATTCTACCAAAGGAGCTTCCTTCCCTAGCTAAATAATGTTTAGTACAACCTTTAAAAACCATAAACCTCTCATGGCACATGCCTTTAATCCCAGGGCTGGGGAGGCAGAGCCAGGTGGATCTATCTGGATGAGTTCAAGACCCGGCCGGCCTACAGAGTGAGTTCCAGGACAGCTGGAGCTACAGAGTAAGACCCTACCTCAAATAAAAAAATAAAATAAAAATAAACCATAAACCTGAAAAAAGTCATAAATCCGGGAATAATTCTAATGAAAGTTATGTAAGACTTTTATACTGAAAATTGTAAAAATGTTGCTAAATGGAAAAAAAAAAACAAATAGTGGCAACACTAGCCCATGTTCATTAACTCAAAGACAAAATACTCCTAAGATCTGAGCATCTTTCAAGCTGATCTCTAAATTCCAAGTAATCCTTTTTTTGAGTCAGGGTTTGTGTGTCAACTCTGGCTATCCTAGAACTCACTATGTAGACCGGGCTGGCCTGGAACTCACGGAGCTGCACCTGCCTCTGCCTCCAGAGTGCTGGGATTAAAGGTGTGTGTCACCACTGCCTGGCTTCTCCCATAAGCTACCACAGCGGACTGTATCTCTACCTCGCTATCTCATAACATAAGTGCCCCTGTCTGCTGAGCCATGTCACCAGCCTGTACGCGTATGCACCCTAATACGTGTACTTTGTTTGTGAATTAATTTATAGATAATTTAACCTATGGGTTTATTTCATTTACTTATGTACTTTCATCCTACCTCAGAGTGGGTACACTGTAGAGTTACAGTGACTTTACAGTGTGCTGCTGCAAGGGGAGGAAACGGGCAGGTGGAAGGGAGTGGGAAGTCCAGAGACTCCCCCGGCCAGCCGCTGACTAAAGAGGCCAGCTCCCCAGCCAGGTACTGAGCAGGCAGTGCTTTCCAGCACGTGGAGCCCGAGCAACCGGTTATTTGTGTTAAAAAAAAAAAAAAAAATGTACCTGGCAGTGAGAATTCCTCCCACATCCCACACAGAAACATTCCTTTGAGGTAAATAGTTTGTTTGTTTTTTTTTTTTTTTTAATCCAGTGTTTAAAAGAAAACCAGAAAGTTCATATTTACACGTGTCTCTGCTCATGTGCCTATGCTGTTGTGTGTACAGGTGTGTGTAGAGGCATGCTTGTACCTCTGTGTAGAGTGTCCTAATTTTTTTTCTCCTAGGGATTGAGCTCCTTCCTGTGGCTGTCCTGGACTAGCTTTGTAGACCAGGCTGGCCTTGAACTCACATCGGTCTGCGTGCCCTACCTCCCAAGTGCTGGGACTAAAGCATGTGCCACCACGTCTTTTTATTTTACTATTATGATTATTTTTTTTTGAGACAGGGCCTTACACACCGCACAGTGACATGGGTTTAGATTTTTCACCAAACCTACTTTATTTAAGAGTTCTTAAGCACCTTTGCCTCCTTCCTACAGTAGGAAAAAGGGCTGTAATCCTCTTTTATCTATTTTCTGCTAATTAGGGTTAATGGGCTTTTAGGGGATTGCCAGACTCAGCCATCAGGATACCAGCAGTCCAGTCCAAAAGCCCACACTATGCTGCAACATCAAGTCAGCGAAAGCCACAAGACTGAGTTGGATTGCCCGAGGAGTTCTCTGGAAAGGTTCTCTCTGAGATCAAATGTCGAAGCACGAAGATCAGCGAAGCGATGCCGATCCAGAAAGCGACACCTCACTGAGCGTAGGCCTCTACATATCTCCTCTCCTCAGAGCCCACCGAGAGATGTTCTCAGCCGGCCAAAGTCACTCCCCTCTCACGAGAGAGCTCACAGCAGCACAGCGTGTGCCCTCTCACAAGCCAACCTTCAGCAAAACAGCACATGACAAAACAATCTTCAAAGAAGCCAGAAATTTCCACTTCACACTGATCTCCCACTCACTACACAGACAAGGATGGGCTTGCTCTCCTGATCCTCCTGCCTCAGCTGGGATAACAGGCGTGCACCACAGTTTTTGTGTGGTCTAGGGAGACAACACAGGGCGTCATGCACGCTAGGCAGGTGCTCTACCAACCGAGCCGCATAGTGGCGCACAGCGGGCGGCCACTTGCACTGTTCAACACGTTAAACCTTTGCTTGGTAACTGCGCTCTAAGGTGCAGGGCCCACAGTAGAAAGCGTGGGAGTCCAGAAAAGACAGGCGTAGTTGCACCAGCTTCTTCAGGGTCTGTTTTGGTTTAGTTATGGGTCTGGGTGAGCGTACACATTCACGTGGGGTCGAACGCACCTGCTGGGGCAGAGGCCAGAAGATGTCGGCTCCCTCAGAGCTGAAGCTACAAGTATCTGTGGGATTGCCAGCTTGTTCCATGGGTGCTGCGGCCCAAATTCCATTCCTCGCCATTGCACAGGGACACTCTTAACCACTGAGCCATCTCACCAGCTCCCTGTTCATACCAATTTTATGTGTAGCCCCAAATGGCAAGCCAGGGAGGTCATCACAAACAGAGGAGGGTATAACCGAATTAGAGCACAGGGCCAAACGCGGTGCCCCTAACAGAGCCTCCCAGAGCACTGTGCAGGCACCATGTGTGGAGTCAATTCCTGCTGGAAAGCGTTACTGCGACTAATTAACGTAGCCCAGGGAACTCCTTAATAGTGTATAAGATAAAGTCAGTTTTGGTTTCCCTTTAAAAAATGATGTTTTTTTTTGTGGCCTCAGCAGCCCCAAATGTCCTGCGTACGGTTTGCACGTTTAATTAGTGATCCTTCTGTGTCTGCAATTAGCACCAGAACCATTAATAAGATGGGTCCTCTAAAGCTCCATTTAGCTAGCAGAAGTGCACAACCAGGTACAATTAATTCATCATGAATAAGTCATGGCTGATCAGCTAATCTGTTTGTTGCTAACAGTATGAGTGGCTCCCGCCTGAGCACAGCTAATTCTCTAGGCGGACAAAGCTGGAAGCTGACAAAGCCAGCTCCCGGAAAGGGCACTCTTAAGTAGCAACCACACTGGTCAGTCCGGGAGCTTCTGAGTCGCAGCACTGAAGTGCCACTGAGCCGCAGAGGCGATTGTCCAGAGAGTGATGGAAATGGCAGCTGCATCTGGAAGCCGGAGCGCAGGGCGGGTCTCAAACTAACCCATCACCTAGAGGCCTTGTTAAAACTCAAATGACTGGCCCCGGACTGCGGGGCTCCGGACACAGGCCACCCGTAATAGGGCCTATGAGTTTGCTTTTCTAGCAAGTCCCTGTGGTGCTGATGATGATGATGGAGAGATTTCTCTCAGGGAGCCCCCTCCCCTTTCTCTAATGCTAGGGGTGGCTCACAATTGCTGTGATTCCCAAGTCCATTCTATAGACTCTAACAGGTTTGTTGGAGTTTATTGGCATTTGAAGCAGGGTCTGGGGAGTCCCTGCTGGCTTCAAGTTCACTGGCTAGACAGCTGCAACTGGCTCTGAAGTTCTGATCCTCCCGCCTCTCTCACTGGTGCTGGGATGACAGGGCGTGTGCCATTGTGCCTGGCAGTCGCTGGTGAATCTCCACCGTCCTTGCTCTCACTTTCCACCGTGTCCGAGGCAGAGCCGCTCTAGGCTGTTTGCCGCTGTGTTATATAGGCTGAGCTAGCTGGCCTGGGAGTTTTAAGGTAGGGAGTGGGGATGGATGGGTTGGGGGATGGATTCTCTCATCTTGACCAGGGTATGCTGAAATCGCAGCCACTCGTTACTGCATCAGTTTTTAACGTGGATTACAGGGATCCAGACTTGAGTGGTAAGGCTCGCCTGGCCCATTGAACCATCCCCCACGCCACCTAACCCGTCCTTTCTTCCATTCATTTTCTGAGTTCGCCCTAAGTTTTAGTGCATACATAAATGCAAAATTTATTTTCATCACGTTTACTTGTTTGTTTTGGGCATAGCATGTATATGTGTGGGTGTGCATGCTTCAGCACCTGTGTGTTTGTAGGTCCGAGGACAACGTTCAGCAGTTGGTTCTCATGCTTCCACAGTGTGGTCCCAGGAATCGAACTCAGGTTGTCAGCCTTGATGGCACGCTACTCATCTTCTGTTTCTTAGTATTATTACACTGTGGGATGTTTTCCTGCATGTTGCTCGGACAATACTCTGAGCCAAGCAACTGCCATCTTCAGGAGTGGCTGTGCCCACTTGCCAAAGATCATCCCGGCTAGGCTTGATGGCTGCTTCTCCTCACAGAGGGCGGGGTGGGGGAGTCGCAGGAGCCTCATCTGAGCACCCAGCCTGAGCACCCAGCCACTTCCCTATCTCCTGAGGCCTTAACTGTACATGGCCTCAGCAAGAGGCTAGAGAAAAGCAAAGACTAACGGGCTCCATCATTGCTTCTGTAGGAAAGTCATCATCGCTGCTGGATAAAAGCCTTTCTGGTCACAGTTTAGGGGGCACACCGGCACTTCTATAAGTAACCCCTCCCCCAAGCCCAATAACTCATTGGTGGCCTGGGGGAACTTTGGTGGCACTGTACCTTGGTCAATCTTTGGAATCTCAGGGGCAGGGAAGAAATGTTTCTGGCAGGGATTTGGCATCACAGCATTTCCACAAAGCTATTAAAACTTCTAAATGGCTGTGAAATAAATACCCTAAGGTGCCCACGCCTAATCAATGGATCTCTCACTGTGATTGGCAGTCACAGTCAAAAAGAAGTGGCCGCATCACTCTCTGCTTCGGGTTACTGAAGATACACACCCAGGCAGAGGTGAGAGCTCACCATCAGGCAAGGAGTCAGGAGACGCTAACGCACTTCCATCAAACATCTTCCCTTCTGGCTCTTCATGAGAGGACTGAGGGCACTCTGCTGGGCATGAAAGAAGCTCAGTGCATTTGTTGTTTGGTTGGTTTGGTTTTTTGATATAGAGAAAACACCGTGTTGAGCAGTGGCCACAGCCCAGCATAAGCGTCTCTAGGCTGTCAGCGTGTTCTCTAAGATGTCAGCGTGTCCTCTAAGATGTCAGGGTGTCCTCTAAGATGCCAGCATGTCCTCTAGGCCGTCAGCGTGCCCTCTAAGACAATAGCCACGCCGCCCTTCATGTCAACTCGTCCATCAGCTCGCAGGGAAATGTTCAGTTCCCCTCCTCGGCGGGAACACTGAAAGGCTGAGAGGACACAAGTGGTGCCAATTGAGAGCATTTTCCCTGTGATTTACCACCCACTGGAGCACTTACTGTTACAAACCCAGGACTCCTCCCAGGCCAGTTTCCAGAATAAATTCCTCCCTGTGTCCATAGCGCCCCCCACCCCTACCTCATTTTCCTGCAGCCGCAGAGGTCCGCACAATTGATGTGCACACACTGCCCAGCCCTCTCCTTCCGGAGCTGCTGGAAAAAGAACCCACCTTCTGCTCTGAATTAAACAGAGGGAGCTTGTTTCGTCACAACATGTTAAAGCAGCCATATGTGCCAGGCCCACAGAAGAAACACACTGCCAGTCTTCCAGGTCCTCGGGAAGTCATTACACTCACCCAGGGCAGAGAAAAGGGCTCATCCCTCTCGGAAGTTACCTGGCAAGCTAATTATAGTCACCCAGCATTTACTAAGCACTTACTGTATCAGAAATATCTGTGTTTGAGAAGTAGGGGTGGAGAGAGTTGGGAGTGGGGGTCATTGAAGGGGAGATGTTTCCGGGGTATTTCACAGGAATGATAACATAAGATCTTAATACTTTTTGTTTTGTTTCTGTTTTTGTTTTTTGAGACAGGGTTTCTTTGTGTAACCCTCATTGTCCTAGAATTTACTCTGTAGACCAGGCTAGCCTCAAACTCAAACTGCCTCTGCCTCCTGAGGGCTACCACTACCCAGCTCAACTCTTAATACATTTTTAAGGAGCTAATGCATATGAAAATAGATACAAATGAGGCAAATAAGAAATTTGATCTGGGCATAGTATTGGGCAGTCCCAGCCCTCAGGAAATATATGCAAACTGGGGGTCAGCCTGGTCTACTTAGCAAGGCCTTGTCCCAAGAAGTTAAGGGATGGGCTATGCCTCTGTCTATGGTTGAGCATTTGCAAACCCAAGCACCCACAGAGTTGGAGAGAGAGGGAAGGACCCATCCTACCTCGCATCTCTTTCTTCCCGAGCTGCTGGGACCAGTAGCTGCTGAGAACGGTGTGCGCAGATCCTAAAAAGGAAGATGCCATGAACACAAGCAGAGAAAGCAGAAGTGGTGTGTCCCTAGCTGTGTGAGCGATGAGTCACTGAACCAGCCTGACTAAATGTTAGATGAGCTAGTCCTGCTTCAATCAGGCCACAGGAGAGTGTGGCGCAAAGAAGTAAACTCAGGGGTTTATGAATCAGCTATCTCAAATTGTCTGTCAACTATGTCTTACTGTTTCTGAAGGATTAGACTGAAGGGATTTGCTTGCTTGTTTTTTAAGACAGGGGTCCATGGATCTTAGGCTGACTTGAATTCTTTAGGTAGCTGAGGCTGGCTTTGAACCCCTACCTCCTGAGTGCTGGGATAATAGGCTTGTACCTCCACACCTGGCTTTGGGCTTAATTTGGGTCATCCATTCATTGTTAGCTCTTTTGTTAATTATTTATTTTATTATTTTTAATAATGTGTGAGTCTGTGTGTGCCTCTGTGCACCAGCATGCTGAGCCTGTGGCAGCCAGAAATGCAGTGATGCTCCTGAGAGCCGCTTAACATGAACTCCGGGGACTGAACTCAGGTCCTCGGAGAGAGCACTGTTTACTCTTAACCACTGAGCCATTTCTCCAGCCTGCACAGTCAGCTCTTGATAGGAAATTCGAGGCCTTCACATAAATCTTTCTAGGGAACATGTCTCCTTCCTTCTAGGGCACATATGCAAGAAAAAGAACTCAGACACAGGGTTAACCTTGTGGGGCATTGTGGGCAAAGAGAACATTCCTTTCAGCCAGGGGTTTGGTATTGTGGGTTCAGTGTGCTGAAATATAAAGTCATGTCAGGCATGGTGGTGCACGCCTGTAACCCGACATAGGGAGCTTGAGGCCAGACTGGGCTACATGAAAATCTGTCTTAATAAAAGAAAAAAGAAGAAAAAGAGCCAGGCAGTGGTGGCACACACCTCTAAAGTCCAGCACTTGGGAGGCAGAGGCAGGTGGATCTCTGTGAGATCGAGGACAACCTGGTCTACAGAGCTAATTCCAGGACAGCCAAAGCTATACACAGAGAAACCCTGTCTTGAACCACCCCCCCCCCAAAAAAAAAGAAGGAGGAGAAGAAGAAAGTTTAAGAGCTGTAACTTTATTTATAACTTCCTGAAAAGTCTTTTAAGTGGGGGTAAGGAAATTGAGGAAGTGTGCTTTTCTCACACTTTTCTCATAAAGCTTTTCTCATAATGCTTACTGAGCATTATGGGGTGTCTGAGTATGGTAACCAACATTCTGGTTTGCCAGAGACTAAAAGTTCCACTAAAAGTTCCTCGTCTCAGGGCCCCTCAGCCCCACTCTGCCCTCTTCACCCTAGCTCATCCAAAGACATTTTCCATCTAGAAAACATTACACACAAAAGCGTCCTGCTTCTTAGTCACGGTCTTGGAAAGCAGCTATGTGTATGCACACCATCCAGAACCCTCCGCCATGGTGCGCTGGTTAGGTTTATGTCAACCTGACCCAAGCTGGAGTCTCTGGAAAAAAGAGAACCTCGACTGAGAAAATGCTTCATAAGATCCAGCTATAAGGCATTTTCTTAACTAGTGATTGATGGGGAAGGGCCCAGCCCACTGTGGCTGGTGGTCCTGGGTCCTGAGCAGGCCATGAGAAACAAGCCAGTAAGCAGCACCCCTCCGTGGCCTCTGAATTAGCTCCTGCCTCCAGGTTCCTGCCCTGTTTGAGTTCCTGTCCTGACTGCCTTCAGAGATGGACTACAGTGTGGAACATAAGCCAGATAAACTCTTTCCTCCCGATTTTGCTTTTGTCATGGCCTTTCATCACAGCAGTAGAAACCCTAACCAAGATCCACGGGGCGAGGCTCAGTGCATTTCATGGATGCTGTGGGCGTTTTATTCTGAGTCTTAGCAACACCTTGTTGAGCTTCGTGTTTGTGTTTTGTTGTTCTCAGGGTACTCAGTGAGGATCCCAGAGCCACCCCAGATCCTAGCACTTGCAGCCTCTGCCCAGCCCATCTAAGCCCTGAACCCCCAGCAGCCCCCTCCATCAAGCTACATAGACTGCTGTTCTTGGAGAGGACAGAAGTGGAGGGAGCGGCATTGCTGCCCCTCTTTGATGTCTGTCCTCTGCATCCGGCGGGTACAGGCCTGGAGGGTTGGCTCAGGGATCCCGGTGCACTGATAGTAAAGTGCGCATGTCTGCGGCTCTGTGGTGCAGTGCAGCCTAGCAAGCGGGGCGGCCCTGCATCCAATCCCCAATTGGAGGAGGAGGAGGCGGCCGCAGCAGAGACTGAGCACAGCTAGTGCTTACTGGGCATTTACCATGTTCCAGGCATTGTCTTTTGTCCTGAGCATGCGCTGTGCTGACCTGACCCACTGAGGTATTATTTGGAAGGACTGAGGCTTTCAGCGGTTGTCACCTGTCCAGGTGGTAAGAACGAGGAAGGCAGGGCTGCAGAGCCAGGCTGTCAGCCACCGGTTTCAACCTACTATAATGCCTTCTTTGTTGTTGTTATTTATTTATTTTTCATTTTTTCACACATAGCATACCAACCAGTTTCCTGTCCTCCCAGCAATCTCCCTTCTCCCCCAGATCCATTCCTGTGTTTCCCTTCAGAAAGGAGCAGGCCTCCAGGGATATCCACCAAACCTGGCATAACACGTTACAATAAGACCAGGCACAAACTGGATGAGGCAACCCAGTAAGAAGAAATTGGTTCCAAAAGCAGACAGAGAAAAAAAAAAAAAAAAAGTCAGAGACAAAAGTTGAACTCCCGCTGTTAGGAGTTCTACAAGAACACCAAGCTACACAACCCTAACATACATGCAGAGGACCCAGCTCAGACTCACACAGGCTCCGTGACTGCCGCGTCAGTCTCTGCGAGCCCCTGGGAGCCCTGCTTGGTTGATTCTGTAGGCTGTGTTCTTAGGTGTTCTCGACTCCTCTGGCTCCTACAATCCTTCCTTCCCCTCTTAAGCATCTTCTCACAGAAGAAATTCAGTGAAGGAGAAGAGGGAGAGAAAGAAGAAAGGCAGTCAAATCCACGGAGCTGGCATGACAGCACACAATCTGAAATCCCAGCACCGGACGGCAGAGGCAGGAAGAGCAGGAAGCTGGAGCCACTGTCCTTACACCCTTACATGCCAAGTTAGAGACCAGCCCAGCTACATGAAGTCTGTTTCAGAAAATGAAACAAAGCCAGGAGCTGAACTGTCACATGAAGCCTGTCTGTTTCGGTTTCTCCCCTGCTGCTGGATAAAACACCGTGACAAAAACAGCTGAAGGAGAAAGCGTAAAGGTTTGTTTTCACTCACATTTCAAGGTGCATCCCTTCGTGGCTGGGAGGTCTGGGCAGCAGAGGCAGCTACTCACGTCAGAGGAGAGCCATGACTACAGCTGCCGCTTGACCCCTCTCCCTAGTCACACAGGCCAGGATCCCAGTTAGGGACCCTCTCGCCCACATTGAGATAGGCCACTTGAATTAGCATAATCAAGATAATCCCTCAGTCTTGCTCAGAGGCCCACCTCCAAGCTGGTTCTGGACTCTGTCACATTGACAACACAAAGCACCCACGTGTGAAATCAGCTGTTTGTATTCCTCCTCTCTCCTGGTTAGTCACCCCTCCCCCCATCTTAAGTAAAGAGTACCTGTTACCGGGTCTTCAGGCAAACCAACCCATGGCGCAAAGTATCTGGAGTAGAAGTCATAGGGGGCCGCCTGCTCCCCAGGCTCTCCTTTGAGAGTGAGAATGAGTCCTTTCACCCTCCCTGTCCTGTCAATCCGAGGCAGAGGCTCCGTGTTCACCTTCAGGGTCTCTAGAAAGGACCTGGAGCGCAAACGGGATGAGTTAGGAATAAGCATTTGCCGACGGCCTCCTACACATGGGAAGGAGGCTGAGCTGTGCCCAGATGGCTCAGCACAGGGAGGGAGAGCCTGCCCTGACATCTACCCATGGGAAAGGAAGTGGTCGGTCAGGCCTCTAATCCTAGCACTTTGGTAGAAGAGACAGGTGGACCTCTGAGTTTGAAGCCAGCCTATTCTACAGAGTGAGTCTCAGGCCAGCAAGAGCTATATAGGGAAACCCTCTCTCAAAAGAGAAGGAAAAAGAAACAACAACAACAAAAAAGTCATGCTTTGGAGATAGCACAGCCTGACTGAAGCAGAGCTGGAAATCTGGGTGCTGGCATGTAAATGGTTAAACATGCTGTTTACCTGTCATAAGAATCGCTGAGCCGGACCAGGAGTTTCCGGGTATCCGGAGAGTACCTGATGTCCTGGACCAGGGTGTCACCTATGGCTGCCTGTGAAACAGACCAAAAATGCCTCAGAGTGCCAACAAATAGGCTTGCTGAGTGAGGACTGCCCAGCTCCATAACCTGAATTCAGCCCCACAGATCCAAATAGCAAGAGAGAACCCACTCCTGCAAGTTGTCCTCTGACCTCCAGCCCTGCACCATGGCTTGCCTAGCACACATGGAACCAAAGCACCACATAAACCAGGAAGAAAGGATGAGATTATGGCCAAGCTGGAGAGATGGCTCAGTTGGTAAAGTGCCTGCTTTGTGAACATGTGGGCCTGAGTTCAATTCCCAGAATCCATATTTTCAAAGTCAGGCATGGTGACCAACAGTTGTTATGTCCCTGTTGGGGAGACAGAGACAGGAGGCTCCCTGGGTCTTGCTAGCTTAATCAGTGAGCTCCAGAACAATGAAGGACCGAGGTTAATAGATTGGGGCTAAAGAGATGAGTAAGAATGAGGACCAGGGGCTGGAGAGGTGATGGCTCAGCTGCTAGAGGACCTGAGTTCAATTTCCAGCAACCACATGATGGCTCACAGCCATCAATCATATGATCTGATGGCCTCTTCTGGCATGCAGGTATACATGCAGCTAAAGCACTCAGATACATTAAATAAATAAACAAATAAGCTTTGTTTAAAAAGATGAGGATCTGAGTTCAGATCCCCAGCACCTACCTAAAAAGCCAGGCATGGCCACATGCTCATACCTGTAAACCCTGGTGAAGGGGGAAAGTGACACGGGAGACTTTCTGTGGTTTAAAAAAAAAAAATCTATTTATATGTGTGTATGTATGTATATGTATGTGGGGAGGGGCCTCAAGTGTGGAGGTCAGAGGACAAGTCCCAGGAGCTCTCTGCTTTGGTGCCAGGCCCAGCCTCTGGGTGGAATCATGATGCAGGCCCTACTGTACGGCTTCACCTCTAAGGAAGCTCCAGTTCACCATGGCTGAGGCCCCTCTGTCTTGCTGTGTAGCTGTTTTCTCCCACCTGCAATATTCCATCCTGGGGAGCGGAGGAAGGCTGCTCAGACTCAGGAAGCTAACGAAACCTACACTTAGAAAGATACAAGACTCACTGAGCTTATCCCCAAGGCTGTACGGCCCTTCTGGTGGAAGGGCCCACAGGTTCTACAGGGAGCTTCAGGGGCGCAGCCTCGTGAGCTGCCTCCCATGCTGGAAAGAGCCTGTCAGTGACTCGGCTCCTTCTGAGTCACCCACGCTGGTGGGAGGGACCACACAAAAGTCACTCGCTCACCAAGCTAGACTCCGTGGAATCGTTCCTTTGGCCTGTTCTGGGTGTCCCTTGAGAGAAAACACATGTTCACATCTCCCCAATTAAAGTCAGCCCCTCAACAGCGGGCAGGAAAGGAACAGCCACGCACACCCTAGAGTGAGCAGGGGACTCGGCAGAGTCCCAGACATGCTTTCCTCGCGACCTCCCTTGCTCTGCCATGGTCCCTTCCTTCTTCACCTATGCACTGGGGGTTCTAGAACCTCCATGGAACAACTTGCAGCACGCACCTCACTGGGTGACATAGAGGAAAAAAGGAGACAGTGTGGGTAAAACCCTTAATATGTGGCACCACCCAGAACAGACTCTCACGGCCGCGGTGAGACCAGGCTATATTTCTTGTCCTCACCGGGAAGTACCCACGCTTTCTTTGCCAACCTCTTCACTCTCATTGTCCACCACTCGGATTGGTGACAGCGACAGCTACCGGCATTTTCCACCCTTTTTCTCCACCTTCTTTCTGTGGATTTTATTGAATGGTCTTTCCTAGAGAAAATCCCAGTGCTCGTGCAATAGTGGCATTACTGTTACAGAGGTAACCAATCACCCTCCCCTTAAGCTAGAGGACTGTTTCACAGCTCATTCCTCATACTGGGCACTCGGTTCAGCGCCCGCGGCTGGGGAAGGCCACAGACCCCAAGACGGGACTTACTGCTGTGGTTTTGTAAGTGGACGTGTATTGTCACATGTGTCTTAATGCTTTCATTTATATCTATAGCTTATTGCCATCCTCAGCCTTTGTCAGAGATGCTTAGTTTTGAAGTAAGTAGTGGTTAATTGCAGGGACTCATCACTAGTCAAAATCTGAGATTCAGTGGCTTTTGAGGGTTTGACCCTAACTGGGACATCTATTATTCATCTATTCCCAAAGCTCAAAGACCAAAAGAAAAGAGGAGGTTAGAAGAGCATAAAAAGCCCACAAGGAAAGCAACAGAACTAGAAGATTTGAACACAGGGGTCTTACCAGAGACCCATACTCCAACCAAGTACCAGGCATGGGGATAACCTAGAACCCCTGCACAGATGTAGCCCATGGCAGTTTAGTGTAGAAGTGGGTTACATAGTAATGGGAAGAGGGACTGCCTCTGACATAATCTGATTGGCCTGCTCTTTGATCACTTCCCCTTGAGGGGAGAGCAGTCTTACCAGGCCACAGAATATGACAATGCAGCCACTTCTGATGTGATCTGATAGATTAAGATCAGATGGAAGGAGAGGAGGACCTCCGATATCAGTGGACTTGGGGAGGGGCATGCATGAAGAAGAGGGAGGAAGGGTGGGATAGGGAGGGAAGGAGGGAAGGGCTTATGGGGGGATACAAAGTGAATAAAGTGTAAAAAAAATTAAAAAAAAAAAAAAGAAGAGCATAAAAGCCAAAGGGTGGGAAGAGTGCCGCAGAAAAGCATCTTTTAGACATGGCATGACCACTGCACTCATGAGCTCATGAACATCACAGCAGCTGTGGCTATCTGCAAAACATTAGACCTGTCAACATTTCACCGTGGGTGAAGGGGGAGCTCGTGAGGCCCTGAGCTTCCCTGATAGACTACTGGCAACTGGAGAAAGGGTGTCATTTTATCAGTGATATGACCAGCGATTGCCCACATTCCAGTAACTGCTGCCCACCCCCACCCAGCGCTCATGCAAGCAGCTCTGTTTAAATTCAGTGAAACATACAGAGAGAGAGAGAGAGAGACAGGAGTGTGAAGTAGGGAAATTGTTGGGGATAAGGGTTTTGGGAGGTGGCAGGGGGAGTAAAAGGGACCAAAATTTGTTGCATACATGTAGAAACTTGTAAAGGAATTTTTTAAGTCAAGGAAGAACATTCCCAGCTCCCCTACCTGAACTTGCATGGTCACACCGTCACACCACAGACTGATTTCTCCTCCAGCAGAATGAATAGAAACCCGACCTTTCATTGTTCAAGGGTCTGAGGATGTCTGCTATTATCTTCCTCTCCACCTCCTCACACACACTCATCCCGCCCCAAACACTCTGTCTTACTCCCGTCCCGCTATAGAGGTTATATTGGTCATAGTTAAACCAAAGGAGTTGGGTGTGATGGCACGAACCTCTAATCCCAGTACTTGATAGGCAAGAGAGCTGCAAGTTCAAGGCTAGCCTGGGCTACACAGTGTGGAGAGAAAGGTTACAACTCAACGAAAGTGATCAACCTTACTAACAGATACCCTACTAACGTGCTAATCTAAAATTGCCTAGGCTTTCACCGCTCACCTGCCGTAGCAGGTGGCCCATTTTATGGGATCATATCATGTCAGATCACAGTCTAAGAATGGAGTCGGGTGAAAGAAATCATGAGAGCTTATGAGACAACTCCAGGAAAACGAGAGTCTTGTGACCTCGGTTTCTTCAAAAGCACACAATGGTTCCTGGAACGTGCTTCCGTGCCCCTTGCATGTGTAGTGAATAGGAGTTCACCTCAGATTATTCATGACAACTGGCTCTTGTTTACATGTCTCTGTGGGAAAACAGGACTTTGGCCACGTGCAGCTTGTCCTTGTCATTATAGACTAATCATGTGACTCTTCCTAACCCTCGGAGTATAAATTGTCTGATGCCCTGAATAAAGTTGGCTGTTGCATGAGACTGTAGTCCGCCTCATTTTTAGCCACACACACACACACACACACACACACACACACACACACACTTCCCAGGTTCGCACCACCAATTAGAGTGGTAGACATCAAGCCAGAGCTTTCTGTTCAAACAGGGACAACTGAGCACATCACACCGGCTTTTCACCAACCTTTATCAAGTCTCCTACTTCGTGGAAGTCCTAGGAGGGGAAAAGAGATGAAGTCATTGCTGAGCAGGAGAGCTGTGGGCTGACCTCAGCTTGTAGCTATAATCACTCATGTCACAATTAGACGTAAATACAGTAAGGGCTAACCTGGGGGAAGGTTGGGTAGAGAGGAAAGTCCAAGACAATCCCATCTTCTGCCTTTCTGGCCTTCAGCTCCCCACTCAGAGTGACAAACGTTAGAGTGCTGTTCGTGTTCTCTGGGCAGAGCAGGAATCAAGGATGAGGAAAACAACCTGGGTACAGGGAACCCACCACCACCTTCTCCAGTGTTAGGGATTAACTCTAGCACCACTAGAGCAACTTAACTAACACTGAACTATAGTCCCAGCCTATTTTAAATGCTTTTTTTTTTTAATTTTCTGTTGTAATTCATTTTTCAAGACCAGATCTTAACTATGAAGTTCTCACTAGCCTTAAACTCTCGTAGGCCAGGCTGGTTTTGAACTCATAAAAATCCTCTGGCTTCTATCTCCAAAGTGCTAGTGTTACATACATGGAATCTAGTAGGGGAAAGGCCGAGGCAGGAGGGTCAGGAGCACTGGATCTTCCATAGCTACGTAGAGAATCCAGGGCAAGTCTGGGTTACATAAATACTGTTTTAAAGAACATCATCCAGGAGCCAGGTGTGGTAGTACACACCTTTAATCTCAGCATTAGGGAGGTAGAGGCGGGAGGATCTCTGTTAGAGGCTAGCCTGGTCTACAAAGTGAGTTCCAACACAGCCAGGGCTACCTGGCTCAAAAACAAACAAACACACAGAAACCATATACATACATGCATGCCTATAAGCATATAAAAAAATCACATTACTTATTTTGTGAAAGAGCACCGCCGCGGAGGCCAGGGTGGCATGACCGCACAGCGGGACCTCACTCACGGGCGTAAACCACCTTAGTCCAAAGCAGGAACCTTCAGAGGAGGAAAAGCCAAAGAGGAGCAAGTCAGACCCAGGAAGGCACGCCTGAAGCTTTCTAGCATCTTGCTCCCTAAATCTCTAACTGCCGTAGTTAATAGTAAACTGTTGCCAAAGGGCAGATGCAGACTAGACAGACATCCACCGGCTCCTGGCAGGTAGGTCTGGAGCAGAAGCTGTAGGCTCACCAGCATCCGAGGTCCATTTGGGATGCTGCAGCAGAAGGCCGTGGATTGGGTGACGCTTCAAGAAAGGAATATTTCTGGAAGTCAACTGATGGCTTAGAGGTTTGTGGCCTAGGAGCTGGCACCTGCTGAGAGCCTTCTCAGTGCATCAGCCCAGGGCAGGAAGCACGGGCACAAGAGAATGCCAAACACCCGTGTCAAAGAAGCCCACTCCTGAGATGCCAAACCCATCCTCTGACATGCTCTCACTGCCATTAGGCCCAGCCTACCCACATGCAGCTCTGGGGCCGCTCTCAAATGCTCGAACTTAGGAGGTGGGAGACAACTACAAGCTCAGACTCACCTTCCACACGCTTCTCCCAGATGAACTAACCACACACACACTTGTGCTGTCTGCATGCACATGACATGAACATCTCCCTTAAACGCCCTCGCCGCCACCCAGGAAAATACGAAAAATGTGCATTTACTCTGTATGAAGTTGTCAGTCGGCTGCAGTTTCCTGATGAAAGCCGTTTCAGAAAGGTTCATTTCCCTGGCAATTTGCTGATGGTTGTCTTCCTCCAGTATCTTAATTAGAAACAAATGGTCATTGAGACTTTGGATACGCAAATCAGATGTCCTGGCATGGTAACTACTGTTAGTTAACATAACTCAGGGCAAGTTTATAAAGGCAATTTTTCAGACGCCCAGGCCTATAGCACCTAAGGGAGAATCAGAAATGTGCAAAGCTACTCAAGTGAAAACCCACAGCATCGGGCCAGGTTCCTATTTATGTCAGTTTATTATCAAATAAAAAATCTTGCACTCCTTTTTATTCTCTTTTTCCAAGTGCAGGGAGTCAACCAAAGGGCTTCAGAAATGCCAGGCAAGCTCTGTCATTGGGCTATGACCCCAGGCATTTAAAAAACCTATTTATTTATTTATTTATTTATTTATTTATTTATTTATTTATTTATTTATGTATGTATGTATTTTCCTTTGTAGACAAGTTCTAAGATGCCCCAGTGTTGCCACTGCTCCTCCTCCTCCTCCTTCTTTCTCTTTCTCTTTTTATGGAGGCATTCTCTCTCTATCTCTTTTTATTTAATTTTTATGTGCATTGGTGTCAGACCCCTTGGAACTGGAGTTGCAGACAGCTGTAAGCTGCCATGCAGAATTGAACCCTGGTCCTTTGGAAGAACAGACAGTGCTCTTAACCACTGAGCCACCTCTCCAGCCCTCCACCCCTTGATATTTATTTTTATTCTATGCGTACTGGTATTTTGCTTCCATATATGTCTGTGTGAGGGTGTTGGATCCCTTCGAACTGTGGAGTTTCAGGCAGGTGTGAGGGGCCATGTGGGTGCTGGGAACTGAATCAGATACTCTGGAAGAGCAGCCCATGTCCTGCTGAGCCATCTGTCCAGTCCATTCAGCGTGAGATTCTTCTGCCTCTCGGAGGGCACCTACTACTCAACACGGAAGCTCAGGGAGGAGGGGTCAGCTAGCACCGGCACATCATGGTGGGGAACAGTCTTAGGATGTGACCAAACCAGGGGAGGAGGCTGTAGTCCCAAGCTTCTGGGCAGTCTGTCAGCGTCTGTACCCAGACCTGGGGAAAGCTCTGCCACTCCCCTGAGCCCCGCCCAGGCACTGGTTGATGGTTCGCATGGCTCCGAGCACTGCGGTCACCGACACAGCTGTGCTTATTTCACACACTGCGAGCCCACCCAGGACTTCGCCCACTGCTCACAGCGCTGTCCACGGTGAGGGCGGGCCTTCCCAGTACAAGTGACCTCATCTGAGGAGTCCCTCACAAGGGTCAAGAGACGTGTCCTCAAGGCCACTCGAGAGCCTGTGAAGGTGACCATCAACATAAAGTGACACAGGACGCTGCCTGCCTCCTACTACCCGGGAAACAATACAGCATTCACCCAGAAGGCCAAGGAGTGTTTAACTATCCCATTAGCAATTATCTTAATAAAAAACCTACATTTTTTTAAATTTAAATTCAACTACTTCACTTATTTGGGGGAGGCACTTGTCTAGCATGGCCACTCAGATGTCAGAGGGTGACCTGCCAGGAGGAGGTTTTCTGCTTATACTATGTGCCTCCCAGGGACTGAACTCTGGTCTTCAGACTCGGTGCCAAAGACCTTTACCTGCTAAGCCAGGAGCTGCAGAAGAGCTATTTATAAAAGAAAGGGGTTTTGGCAAATTAAGTTTTTCACATTCTAGAGATCAGCTCCTTGTCTCTACTTAATTCCTTGCAGGTGCCTTATTTTCTTGATCCCAAAGAGATTTTTAAAAAATATTTTGATGATTATTTATAAGAGAAAGAGAGAATGAGAATGAAAGAGTGTGTGTGTGTGTGTGTGTGTGTGTGTGTGTGTGTGTGTGTGTGTGTACACTTGAGTGTGGAGCCTTTGGAGAGCAGGAGAGAGAGAGAATATGAATGTTTTTCTCTAAGTACACCTGAGTACAGAGCCTTTGGAGGTCTGAGAGAGAGCACACGTGTGTGCGCACGCGCACACGTGTACATGGGGGGGACTTGTACACACGAGCGCAGTACCCTTGGAGGTCAGAAGAGCGTGTCAGCGCTCCCGGAGCTGGGGTTACAGGCAGTTGTAAGCACACCACACAGGTGTTAGGACAGGAACTAAAGTCCTCTGCAAGAACAGTACACACTTTTTTTTTTTTCAAGACAGGGTTTCTCTGTGTAGCCTTGACTGTCCTGGACTCACTTTGTAGACTCACAGAGACGCACCTGCTTCTGCCTGCCCGAGTGGTGGGATCACAGGTGTGCCACTGTGCCTGAGGCAGTGGCACTTTTAACCAATGAGCCTTCAGCCCCTTAAAAGGAATTTCTAAACGTTCGGAGTATGGGGAAGGTTAAAGCCAGGTCTGATGGCACACACCTGCAACCCTAGCACCAAGGAGGCTAAGACAGTTTGAGGATAGCTCTGGCTACACAGGGAGTTTAGGGCCAGCCAGGACTGCAAATCTTGACCTTGCTTCAACCCTTCTCCCAAGCCCGTGGAAGAGCTCCTAAAATAAGATCTAAAGGTAGTTTCAGTCATATCTAGCCATAAAACTAAACTGAGGGCTAGTTTTCCTCTATTTTTTTATATTTGTTTGCTTATCTATTTATTTATTTTTTTATTTTATAAGATGGGTCTCTTTACGTAGCCCAGGCAGGCCTAGGACCTGCTATGTAGCCCAGGCTGACCCCAGACTTTCGAGCCTCCTCGCTTTTCCTTTGGAACACCAGAGTTTCAGGCATGAGTCCCCACTCCCAGCTGCTGCCAGGTCCTCTGCCTGGGAGTCTCTGTGGTTCTGACTCAGTCTGGGTACAGCCATCCCCTCACGACCATCACCGAGGTGACAGAACGCAAGCCAGAGAAGCAAACACTCACAAAGGTCGTCTCACTTCTCCACAGAGGTCACGGGCTCTGCACACATCTAGAATTTCAGGCACGGCCCTTGAGAACTGAGTACTCACGTTTTCCAGGAGGCAGACAGCAGCAGGATTGCCTCGGAAAGCTGTCGCCGTGAACGCATCTGCTATGAAAATCGGGAGCTTCATTTTCCTCCCTGGCTCTGTCTGTGAGGTCCCTGAGCCTGCCTCACTTCCTGTTGTTGAAGAGAAGAAAAAAAACCAAACAACCCAGAAAGTTAATATTTCACTAGTGTACACATGCAGTTAATGGTTCCCAGATAGAAAGCCAAACAATTACTCCAGTATCACCTTTAAGGATCCCAAGCCTCTGATGTTTTCAGCCTTTGCAGTGAACAACCTAGCAGAGGGTCCCTGAGTGCTGGGCAAGTGAACGCTTGACTGGGATGCAGAGTCCTGGATGTAATCCCCAGCAGCCCTTACACGGGGCAGGACGGACCGGACCGGCACAGAGCTGTCATCCTAGCACAAGGAAACTGCTACAAGGAAACAGAAGCAGGAGAAACAGAGGTGCAAAGCCATCCTCAGCTATACAGGGAGCTCCAGGCCAAGCTGGATACATGAAACCCTATCTCACAACAACAAAAGAGTTTACCAACTTACACAGTATCTGAAAGTTTACTGTCTTTATTAGTTAGAAAGAAAGTAAACATTGGGTTTCTATCAGCAGGAAACAGCATCAAGGTGCCCTCTTCCTGGTTGTTATTTTTAAGGCTGTGTCTTACAATGCAGCTTGTGCTAGCCTGGCTCTTAAAGCGCCCTTGAACTTAAGAGATCTGCTGCCTCTGGCTTCCACGTGCTGGGATTAAAGTCCTGTGCCTCCACACCCAACCTCCCTTTTCTCCTCTTGAACTCACTTTGCTGGTGGAGGGGTGCCTGGCACACGATGAGTATCTACTGAATGACTTAAGAGGTAACATACTGAGGACACATCATAACTGAGGTTTAGAGCATGGAACACAAACAGGAGGATTTGTCCTGGAGCGGCACCTGCCAGGACAAGTCTCCATCAGCAGCATTACGTCACTGCCTTTCAGGCTGTTTATGTGATTGCCTTCATGATATCAGACAGCGTGAGTCAGCACTCAAAGGCACAATGCTCATGTATGATCCGTGGTTTCCTGCATGGCTGGCATGGAGCTAGCTCAGGCCTCTTGCATGGCTCCTACTGCCCTAGCACTGAGCTTGTTTGCCTGTTACGTGGGGCCAGGATCTTGCCATGTTGTCCATGTTGGCCTTGAACTTTCTATGGGGCCTAGGAAGGCCTTCAGTTTGTAGTCCTCCGGCCCCAGCCTCCGGAACAGCTGGGATTGAAGGCCTCTATCTCCAGACTTGCAGTAGTTCTCACAAATTCAATATGGCAGTTTGTGAGGCAGGCTCAGTGACCCAGGCCTGTGATACCAGGAATCAGGAGACTGCAGCAGGAGGACTGCCTTGAGTTCAAGGCCATCCTCTCAAATCAAAACAAACACTATTTTTGGGGCTTCAGCCATTTTTAGTTCCATCCCTCAGGTCTTGCTAAATGATCCCCAGCAGAGAAAAATGCATGAACTCCAGTATTCAGGAGTTACAACTCCAAAGTTTTGAAATGTTAGTTAAACAGTCTTCTGAAATTATATGTGTGTGTATGTCAAGGTTTCAGCTCAGGGACTCAGGCATGCTAAGCATGTTTTATAACACAGAGACATCCCCTCCCCAGGCCCCTGAATCCTAATGTTATTAAGAGATGAGGAGAGGGCTTAAGTGATCCCTGTGCCTTAGCCTCTCTGTTAGCTGAGGCTACAGTCCAGCCCTCCAATTGTCTCTGCATATTGTAAAAGTTAATTCAGAGAGCAGCCAGAGGTCTCAACAGGTGAAGGCACTTAGCATACACACCTGGACCAGGCCCCACACAAAGGTGGGCGGAGAGATAACACCACCACGTTGTCATCTGACCTTCATCCCGAGTTTTAGGTCCCCAGTGAAGTCTGAGGACCTACAGTCCAGCCCTGGGCAAGTGACTGTTTGTAGAGTGTTTGCCTGAGAGGCACAAGTCTGCTTATTTCCCCAGCTCCACTTAAAACACAGTGACAACCGAGTGATAAACTGCGGCTGCGCTAAGAAACTGATTGGTCTGTAGATGGGGGCGGGGCTGTTTGTCTGCTCTGTTTTGTGAGTCCATCTGACTTTAAATCCCAGACTGTCAATTCAGTTCACAACCCTCTTGTAAACCCACTGTAAACCCAGTGCCGGGTTTACAGATGGTGGGACCAAGCCAGGCTAGCTTGCAGCTTTTGAAATGGTTAAGAATTAACATCAGTGAAAACACTCCATTTGTTTGTTTGCTGAGTCAGGGACTCAAGTAGCCCAGGCTAGCTGATGATTTGCCCCGCTGAAGCTAGTCCTGAACTTGGGGCTTGACTGAACTTTAGCCTTTTTGGTTCCATCCATCTGTTCTTGCGAAATGATTCCTAGGAGAAAAACTACATGAATGCCAGTAATTAGGAGTTACAACTCCATGATTTTGAAATGTTAAACAGTCTTCTGAAATTATGTGTGTGTGATTTCCTGAGAGCTGGGAGTCCAGGTACGTGACGCCATACCAGGCTTATCTTGTCAACCTGAGGAGGAAATCCTCCTGGGAGTCACCCACTGGGAGTCCGTGTCACAGACTGCACCAAATTCCAAGTCACGTTAAGTCTCGCTTTATTAAACAAGAGGAAGCTTTGGCATTGCCACTCTTAGGACACACAGGAGAAAGATCTCACAGCCCACCCTGCTCCTGGAGAGTATGTGTATCTCCGCACAATCTACTCAAATGCATAGTCTGTTTTAATTTCCTGGGTTTTGTCCTGGTGGTGACTTATAGACAAGTTCAAAACACAAAGGATTTGTTTCCTTAACATGAAGACTGCTCTGCACCTTCCCACACGAGCTGCCTCTGTGCTCCCTTCACGGCGTGTGAGTCCCCACACAGCACACTTCACAGTGTTCTCTCTTCAGCGTTAGGTCTGCATTCCCAGAGTTATTGGTCTATGGGGAGGTTATGAGTCTGTGCGTGATGGTGCACACCATTAACCCAGAGGCGGGCAGATGTCGGAGGTTAGCCTGGTCCACACAGAGAGTTCCTTCCCAGCCAAGGCTACACAGTATGATTCTGTCTTTAAATTAAAAGTACATATATATGTATACATATATACATACATATATGGAAAACCTTCTATCAGGTACCCACGCCTAAATCTAAATTTCAATCTCCTAATCAATGGATCTCTCACTTTGATTGGCATTCATAATCAAAAGAAGTGGCACTCCACTCTCTGCTGTGGTTACTAAATAGCCATACCCAGGCAGAGGTCGGACCTCAGAGCTCACCATCAGGAAGGAGTCTGGAGACAGTGCCGAGCCCCCATCTAATGCTCTCTCCTCCTGCTCCTCACGAGAGGACTGACAGCAGTGTTTGGCAGCCTTGCTGAAGCAAGCTCAGCGCACTTGTTCTTTGGTTTGGTTTTTTGATATAGAGAAAACACCGTGTTGAGCAGTGGCCACAGCCCAGCATAAGCGTCTCTAGGCTGTCAGCGTGTCCTCTAAGATGCCAGCGTGTCCTCTAAGATGTCAGGGTGTCCTCTAAGATGCCAGCGTGTCCTCTAAGATGCCAGCGTGTCCTCTAGGCCGTCAGCATGCCCTCTAAGACAATAGCCGCACCACCCTTCATGTCAACTCGTCCATCAGCTCGCAGGGAAATGTTCAGTTCCCCTCCTCGGCGGGAACACTGAAAGGCTGAGAGGACACAAGTGGTGCCAATTGAGAGCATTTTCCCTGTGATTTACCACCCACTGGAGCACTTACTGTTACAAACCCAGGACTCCTCCCAGGCCAGTTTCCAGAATAAATTCCTCCCTGTGTCCATAGCGCCCCCCACCCCTACCTCATTTTCCTGCAGCCGCAGAGGTCTGCACAATGCACTGCCCAGCCCTCTCCTTCCGGGGCCTCTTCTGCTACTCACTGCCACGCCCAGCTGTGTCCAACCTAAAGCTTCCTCTAGGAGTGCTCAAGGATTTGTGAAGAGATGGAGGTGGGGAAGGGAAGTCTAAGAGGATGAGAGAGGGGGTCCTGGCCCACCTTCCCTACCCAATGCCCCTTCTCAGCTCAAAAGAGTCAGGTTGAGTTTGTTTCCCTGTAGTAGGCTAAGGCAACCACGAGGCTGGCGCACAGAGAGGCACCGCCCCAGCCTTCAGGAGCTCCATGCTCAGCTAGCCATGAGACTCAGCCAGGACAGGGGAGAAACACCCGTTCTCCCCTCAAGGCCACACAGACTTCCCTTCGGTAAGATCCATCCTTGGAGAGCAGAGCTCTACTTTGACGTGTGCTAATGTGCATACTTTTTCTGTGCACCTGAGTCTTAGAGTCATTCCTGGCCTGGTTCTTCAGGAGGCAGAGGCACACACTGGCCATCCCTAACTCCACAGCAGAGCTCTGTCTCAAAAAGCCAAGAGCTGGAGCCAGGACTCCATGGTATCGCATTTGCTGAGCATCTGAAGGCCCCGAGTTCACCACCCAAGCACCCAAAGAGAAGGAGAGAAGGGCTGGCAAGAGTTATCCTACCTCGAATTTCTTTCTTCCCCAGCTCCTCAGACCAGTAGGGGCCAAGAATAGTGTGGGTGGACCCTGAAAAGAAATGACAAGCCATGAGAGCCATAGAGTAACATTTCTCTAAATGGATCAACAATTATAATCAATCATCCAGGATGACTAAACCTTAGGTTGTCAATCCTATGTCAAGGTGGCCACAGCAAAGTGTGGAGTGAGGAAAGGGAGAGAGAGGATTTATAAAGCAGTGCTTCCGAATGACCTGTCAAATCTGTCTTATCTCTCCAAAGATGCATAAGGCTACAGGGTTAGTATTTTGTTTGTTTCTTGGTGTTTTCTTTTTTGAGATAGTCTTGTGTAGCCCAGGCTACCCTGCAACTAGCTGAGGCTAATCTTGAACAGCTCCTTCTGCCCTAACCTCCCAAGTGCTATCTTGACATCTGTACCTTCATGCCAGGCAAGACCGTAGGCGTTAATGCTTGTCTGTCAGTTGTCAGTTCATTGTCAAATCAAGGCCTTCCCATGACTCTTTCCCCAGCTTTCAGGGAATGGAACTTGACCCTCCTGCTGTGTAGATGCCAGGGAAGGAGGAAACTCAGATAACAGACAACCTTTCAGAGCTTTCGGGACTCAATGCTCATTCTTTTTCATTGGAGTTTTTGTTGTTGTTGTTGTTGTTGTGTGTGTGTGTGTGTGTGTGTGTGTGTGTTGGTTTGGGCAGTACTGGACCCCCATATGGCATACAAGCCCTCTACCAACTAGATCTCCTTATTTTTGTTTTGTTTAATTTAGCCTAGAACTAGATCAGAGATTACGTATGAAGATGAAGAAACAAAGTGAGGGGTAGTGGCACACCTTTAATGCTAGCCCTCTGGAGGCAGAGTCAGGGGGATTAGAAGCTGCTGTGTGTTCACGCGTGCTGCCCAGAATCCTCTGCCAGACAGAGAAGCTCCCTGGACTACATGGATGCTGAAGGCGTGTTCCCGAGTCTTCAGCTGTGCTTCTCTGCTGCGTTGCGAGTTCCCGTTTTGTTCCTCACTGAGGACTCAGTGAAGGTCTGGAACCATTCTGGCTCTTGGCATCTGGAGCCTCTGCCCACTTCCTTTCAGCCCTGCCTCTGCTTCCCCCAGCAGCCCCCTTCCATCAGCCACTCTGGCTGCATAGACCATTGTCCTCAACGGGAATGGCAGTAGGAGCACCACATTTCTTCCCTCTGCTTCCGGCTGGTACAAGACGTGCAAACGTTGGCTCGGGGATCTAGGTGCACTTGAAGGGGACTATGTGGCCTTGTCTTCGTGTGCGGAGAGTCTAGGGAAGAGTTTAGCAGCCTAGGACTTTGAGCTGTGTACACACCTCTCTCTGAACAATGTACACGCTGTTAACAGATTGGGACCCCCCTCCTCAGAGCTGTAAGCACACCTGCTATCAACAATGAGAAAAAGTTAAATAAACTACCCACTTTAGCATCCCCTGGATAACATCCTGTTTCTATCCAAATACATCACGGAACACAGTCTGAGAACTATGCCATAGCCAATGGGCCAATCCAGCCTAGACTAGTTTGGGGTACATAAGGCAAACTATCCTCAAAGTGAACTTTTATGCAGAATCCCCTATTTACCATCTTATGACTGCATAATTGGATGTGTATATGATTAAAATCAGATGCCCATGAAGAAAGGGCTTCCATAGCCTATACTTGTCAATCCAGAGAGAATCTCTCAAATTGTGTTGTTAGTAACCAATCTCCTCCTTCTCTTGAGCACCATATAAGATGTCGGGGACTGGAGAGATAGCTCAGCAGTTCAGAGCACTTGGTGCTCTCGTGGAAGACTGAGTTTCATTCCCAGCACCCATACTGAACAGCTCACAGCCCCCCGACACTCCAACTCCAAGTGTTACCCAAACCTCTAGGGGTACAAGAGCACAGATAAGATACATGCACACACACACACATACACACATACGTACACATACGTACATACATACACACATGCTCCAACACTCCTCTGTCAACCTTGACAGCGACAGCGCGTCCTTTCCTGACCTGTGCTGATGCTTTGAATAAACCTCCCTCACTACTTTGTAATCCCTCTGGGCTTTTATTTCAATTCTTTGGTGAGACTACATGCATCTGGCTGTACCCAGCCCAGACCCTGACCACATGTAACACTTGTGGAAGCGTACCTGTTACCGGGTCTTCAGCCACACCAACCCATGGCGCAAAGTATCTGGAGTAGAAGTCATAGGGGGCCGCCTGCCCCCCAGGCTCTCCTTTGAGAGTGAGAATGAGTTCTTTCACCCTCCCTGTCTTTTCAATCCGAGGCAGAGGCTCCGTGTTCACCTTCAGGGTCTCTAGAAAGGACCCGGAGCACAAATGGGACGGATCAGGAATAAGCATTTGCCAACGGCCTCCTACACATGGGAAGGAGGCTGGGCTATGACCAGATGGCTCAGCACAGGGAGGGAGAGCCTGCCCTGATATCTACGTACGGGTTAAAAAAAAGGGGTTAGGACAGGCATGGCAGCAGACGCCTCTAACCCCAGCACTCTGGTGACAAACTCTGTGAATTTGAGGCCAGCCTGTTTATAGAGTGAGCCAGTAGCAAGCAGCTCAGGCCAGCCAGAGCTACCATAGGGAAACCCGGTCTCAAAAGAAAAGAAATGTTAAGTCATGCTTTGGAGAAAGCACGGCCTGACTGAAGCAGAGCTGGAAATCTGGGTGATGGCATGCAAATGGTTAAACATGCTGTTTACCTGTCATAAGAATCGCTGAGCCGGACCAGGAGGTTTTTGGTATGTGGAGAGTACCTGATGTCCTGGACCAGGGTGTCACCTATGGCTGCCTGTGAAGCACATCAAGACTCCTCAGAAGGCGAACTCTTCCTCAGTTGTTGGATGTGCGTCTAGCATGCCAGCCAGCAGCCAAGGGTCAGTCAATCCCTGGCACCACATTAACTGGGTATGATGATATGTGCTTATACCCAAGAGAAAGAGGCAGAAAGGTCAGGAGTTCTGAGTCAGCCTTGGCTAGTCAGAAAATGTGAAGCCAGGCTGGGATGCCTGAGATTCTGCCTCAAAAACAAATAACAGAACAAAACAGCTAGGCACCCTCTTTTGACACAAACATGTGGGAGGCAGAGGCGGGGGGCTCTATAGTGAGATCAGAGTCAACCAGGCCTACAAAAGACAGCAACAAACCTCCTCAAAAGCGGCCTTGGTTGCCATGTATGAGAAACAATCTCCCATGAAGCGTGTGTTGTGAGCCAGGCCCCACATAGTCCCCAGGTCCCAGGAGATGCCTTCAGTTTCAGGGCTCAAAGTACTGCTCAAAGACAGCCATGTTCCTGGCCAACAGAAGGACCCTTCAGGAGCCAGTGAGCTTCCGCTCTGAGAGCCAGGAAACAGGTAGTGTTCACCACGTGCTCAGTGCGTGTCCCAACACACAGCTCCACCAGGTGGGGCCCCACAGACCCAGGCCTCTCCCTCCCTTTCTTCCTCTTCTCCCTTCCCTCCCTCTCTTCCTCCTCTCTCAAGTCTGAGTCACTCTAGAATCAAGTTTGAACCCCTGCATCAACTGTCTTTCGAGGTGAGAGCCACTAGCTCACCTCTTTAAGTTGGAAAGACAATGAAATGGCTGTACGTGCAGCCACCCTAGGACACCCAGGGATGCTCCGTGTGCCGGGACTCAGGGCTGGCCTGAGTGAATAGAACGTGTCTGAGTACGCTCTGCTCAGGGAGCACACTACCTCTATTTGACTGGAAATGCAACCCTTCGTGGTCCAAAGGGGCAGGGGATAATACCTTCTATCCTCTTCGCCACCCCCTTCAGGCCTTCTCTGTCCTCGCCAAACACTCTGTCTTAGTCCTGTCCCACTGTGGAGACTATATGGCACATAGTGAAATCAACCGAATCAGGTGTGACTGTATGGCCTGTAATCTGAGCATTCGAGAAGCAGGAGAATTTGCAAGGATAAGAGCAGGCTGGGCTACACAGTAGGGAAGAAAGATTACAACTCAGTGAAAGCGATTACCCTTACTAAGTAAACACAATATTAACACTCTGACCTGAAACTGACTAGGCTTCCACAGCGGTGGGTACACCGGATGGGGCTTTATTACGGGATCACATCACACCCAAGCTTTCAAACACCAACACAAACAACCACACCACACAACCTCAAAGTGAATGCTTTTCACCAACCTTTATCAAGTCTCCTACTTCGTGGAAGTCCTAGGAGGGGAAAAGAGATGAAGTCATTGCTGAGCAGGAGAGCTGTGGGCTGACCTCAGCTTGTAGCTATAATCACTCATGTCACAATTAGACGTAAATACAGTAAGGGCTAACCTGGGGGAAGGTTGGGTAGAGAGGAAAGTCCAAGACAATCCCATCTTCTGCCTTTCTGGCCTTCAGCTCCCCACTCAGAGTGACAAACGTCAGAGTGCTGTTCGTGTTCTCTGGGCAGAGCAGGAACCGAGAATAAGGAAAATAAACGTGATTGTGTTTTCTGGGGGTTCATCACTGTTTGTCTAGTGGTGGTGGTAGGTGTGGGTGCGTGGGTTTGTGCGTGCATGTGTGCGTGCGTGCGTGTTACTGTGGCGTGAACCCAGGGGATCACACAACGTAAGCACCTCTCACTAAGCGATCTCCCCGGTCCTCGCTGGCCTTTTGTTTTTATGGCGGAGTCTCAGTTGTCTGGGCTGGCCTTGAGTCCATCTGCAACCCAGGATGTCTGTGAATTTTTACTCCTCTCTTCACAGCCTCCTAAACAGCTGGGATTTCAAGACTATCTCACCCACCTAAACTTGTTCTGATTCTCTACCCACACAAACAAAATCACCTTCTCATAATGATCAGATTTTATGACTTGAAAGTAGAGTGTCCACACCCTTGGTCCTCAGTTTTGGGGAGAGGCATACTTTGAGAGCTGGGTCATAGGTGAAAGGTCTCAGATGGGGCACGAAGACAGGTTGTCGGGGAGTTGGGAGTTGACTAAAACAGTTGTTGACAGTATGGGCAGACAGACAGCAACATGGTGAAGGCTCTGAGCAGAGTTAGGGCTCCAGCACCAGAGACAGGCAGCACAGTGGGGTTCTCCAGAGAGAAGTCAGTGCCCACGCGGCAGACTGGGGGAGTGTCCTTTCAGATCTTCCTGAGCATGGGGCCTGTTTCATAGCTCAAGCCTGCAGCCAGGCTCTGATGCCCAGGCAGGGGTTGGGGTGTGGAACAAGATGTACGGCCACCAGGACCCACTTTCATATAAAACCAGTAGCCCGGGCGAGAGTTCCTGACACGGGGAGGCCATTATTTACAGACTCACAATGCTGGGTAGGGCGCCTGTCGGTGTCTTGAGAGAGGAAGGGCTTCTGCAGGGCACTGAGCTCTGAGCAGTGGCTGCATCCTAATACTCCATCCTTACAAAGGGCCACAGGCCTGTGAGAGTTAAGGCTTGGCCAGCATCTGGGCGAGGTCACTGCTTCCTCTCTAAGCTCAGTGTTACCAGGACAAACTCTTAAAACCAGGGACCACACCACAGTGGCCACCTCGATGGATGTAGCCCCTAAACTGTGAACCCAAACAAGCCTCCCCTCTGTTAGGTCGCCTCTGTCAGGTACTTCATCACAGCAGGAGGGCAGAGCTGAGCATACCGGATTGTGTGGTAGAGGCCCTGACTAACTTGCAGCCTCGCCCCTGAAGGGCACAGGCTCCCTTAAGCGCCGGCTTCATCTTACCCTTCAGCATAAGGTCCCCGGCTTGTATCCACCCTGAGTCACAACCTCACTCGGGGTCATATAACTAGACGTGGGTGTTATAAACAATGTGTCGATAGTATACGGCCAGGCTACCGCACCCAGAACAACCAAAAACTAATTCAAAATCTTATGTGTAGCCAGGCAGTGGTGCCGCACGCCTTTGATCCTAGCGCTTGGGAGGCAGAGGCAGGCGGATCTCTGTGAGTTCGAGGTCAGCCTGGTCTACACAGCAAGTTCCAGGACAGCCAGGGCTACAGAAAGAGAGCCTCTCTCGAAGCAAACCAACAAGCGAACAAGCAAACATCTTATGTGTTCTGGCTTGCTCACCCATGTCGCATGTGTGACGTCACTGCAGCCTGAGACACGTGCACTTTGCATGCCCCTTGCCTTCTCCCACCAATGAAACACGCAGCTCACGTCTGAGACGACGGCAGGTTATACGTTACACCGGCTCTACTGCACACACGACGTGGTTCTCTCACAAAAACGTAGTAGCTTACTTACAGGAAGCAAGGGCATTTAATGGTTTCTGATCGTCATTCGTCAGTATAGAAGTGTTAAATCAATGTTGGGATTTGTATCACAATGTTATTTTTAGAAATAAAAAAATTAACGCGTCTGAGTGTTTACCTGCACGTATATCTGTGCAAATGTGTGTGATTTGCCCTCCGAGGCCATAGATCCCTGGACCTGGAGTTACAGAGGGTCTGTGAGCCACCGTGTGGGTGCGGGGAGTGGAACTTGGGTCCTCTAGAAGAGCAGCCGGTTCTATTAACCACTGAACCAGCTCTCCAGTCCCTAAAATGTTTGGCTTTTAAAATTACTCTTTGAGTTTCAGCTGTTTGGCTCAGTGCTGCCAAGACTAAGATCCTACATTCGGCTCCCCAGCCTCACAGACGAGGGAAAGACCAGACCCCTGAAAATTGTCCTCCGATCTCTACATGTACACTGTGGCATTTGTTCGCGCACACACAAAAAGTAACCAATTAATTAAAATGTAAAGAAACTGCTTGAGGGATCTAAAACCCTTTTCTGGCCTCCCCTGGGATGGCCCATCCATGGTACACAGATGCAGGCAAAAACACTTATACATGTAAAAACAAAGGGGGAAAAAGTGACCTGGACCAGTGTATCATCCTTCAGTGGCAAGGTCCTGAGAAGGAAGGTCTGGGGGATCAGAGATAAAGAAGATAGAACAGGTGGGCTCAGGAGGTCTTGCTTGAGCTGTACTCCGTGCCAAGCAAGCCTAATTAAGAGGTACATGACCTTCTATAGGAGTTCCGGGGGGAGATGGAACAGAGTCAGCAGAAACTATCATACGATGGGATGAAGTCAGCAGGGAGCTAGCAGACAATGTCGCACAAGGTGACCAGAGCGATGCACACGGCAGCCTTAGGATTGACAGCTGTAGCCCCAGATGGTGGGAAGAGTTGGGTGCTCCGGACATGAGGCCACAGTTCTCCAAGGCCCCGGCCCCAGGCTATTGTCAGCTCTACCAAGCATGTTCCTGGTTTTAGAGAAGGAGCTGTGGATTCCTTACATTAGAGGCCCCATAGATCACAGCCTCAGGGAAAGCCTGGGATCAGTCCAGCCTTCAACAACAAAAAAAGTAATTAAAATCAACTGCTGTTTGAGGAGCCGGGTACGGTGACTCAAAGTTGTAATCCCAGCACCAGCAGGCAGAGGTAGGAAGGCAGCAAGTTCAAGTCCTACCAGGCCCAAGTACCAAGTTCCAGGCCAAACAGAATTAGGTAGAAAGAAACTGTTTTTTATTTTTATTTTTTTGTTTTGTTTTGTTTTTGTTTTTTGAGACAGGGTTTTGCTGTGTAGCCTTGACTGTCCTGGACTCGATTTATAGACAAGGCTAACCTTGAACTTACTGAGCTCTGCCTGCTTTTACATCCCATGTGCTGGAATTAAAGGTTGTGTGCCATCACTCCCAGCAAGGCAGGGGATATGGCTTAGTTGGTAGAGTGCTGCCTAACATGCACAGAGCTGGGGGTTCGAATCCCCAGCACTGCATAAAAGGTTTGTGTCAGCAAAAGCCTGTAATACCACACTTGAGAGTAAAGGCACAAAGAGCAGAATTTCAAGGGTATTTGGGTGTATAAGGAATTCAAAGCCAGCCTGAAATATAAGACCCAGTCTCAAAAAAAAAAAAAAAGTGTGAGTTTAAAATCAAAACGGACAGTGGTGGTGCATGCCTTTAATCCCAGCACTCGGAGGCAGAAGTAGGTGGATGGATCTCTGTGAGTTCAAGGCCAGCCTGGTTTACAAAGTGAGTTCAAGGCCAGCCTGGTTTACAAAGTGAGTTCCAGGACAGCCAGGGCTAAAACAGAGAAACCCTGTCTCAAAAAAAATAAAAAAAATCAATAGGGCACCATGTGGAAAAGAGCATGCCTTTGTTTTCCACATATCTCCTTATGTGCTGTGTCCATTTTGGCCATGCAGGTCCCTCTCCCACAGGTAAACAAAATAAGCCTTTTTTAAAAATTCACATTACTAAGCCATGGTGGTGCATGCCATAATTCTAATCCTTGGGAGGTGGAAATAGGAGGATCCAGAGTTTCAAGGCCACTATCAGGTACACAGGAAAGTCAAAGCCAGACTCAGCTAACTGAGACCCTATCACAAAACGAACAAACAACAATAAATAAATAAGCAAAGTGCACATTACTTCTTTTGTGAAACAGAACAGCCGCAGAAGCCAGGGTGGCGTGGCCACAAAGCGGGAACTCACTCTCCGGGGTAAACCATCTTAGTCCAAAACGGGAACCTTCGGAGGAGAAAAGGTCAAAGGAAAGCAAGATCAAACCCACACGGTCAGCTTAAAAACGCCTCCGAATCTTCTTCCCTTACTCACTAGCGCAGCTAAGAGGCAAGCCTTTCATAAAGGGTGAGCATGGGGTAGACAGATGGTCTATTCCCTCCCTGGGAACGGTCCTGATGACGTGAGTTTGAGTCTCAGGATCGACATGGTGGAACAAGAGAACCGACTCCTACAAGCTGTTCCAACCTTACACACTCGCTGTGGCACATGCATGGGCACTTGTGCACACACATGTGCTCACACACACAAATAAATGTGAAGGAAAAAAATGTAAATGTGTATTTACTTTCTGTGAAGTTGTCAGTTGGTTGCAGTTTTCGGATAAAAGCGGTTTCCGAGAGGCTGATCTCCCTTGCAATGTGTTGATGAGTGTCTTCGTCCAATGTCTTAAATAGAAATGAAAGGTTATTGAGAGACTGGAACACAGATCCGACTTGATGTAGCAGTTTATTGGCATCAAAAACCATAAGCTTAGACTTGGTATAGAGATGCTCATCTTTAATCCCAGCACTTGGGAGGCAGAAACAGGCAGGTATCTGTAAGCTGGAGGCTAGTCCGGTCTACAGAGTTCCGGGACAGGAAAGGCTACATAATGAGACCATGTGAGAAAGAAAGAAAAAGAGAGAAAGAGAGAGAAAGAAAGAGAGAAAAGGAAGAAAGAAAAGAAAGGAAGAAAGAAAGAAAGAAAGAAGGAAATGAAGGAAGAAAGAGAGAGAGAATTTATATGCTTGCAGTAGTTTGACTGTAACTGCTAGGAGGTATGAGGAGGTGCGCCTTGTTGGAGTAGGTGTGGCTTTGCTTAAGGAAGTGTGTCACTGTGGGAGCCAGCTTTGAGGTCTCATATGCTCAAGCTACATCCAATGTAACACAGTCTCCTGCTGCTGCCCATAGATCAAGATGTAGAACTCTCAGGCTGGAGAGATGGTTCAGTGGTTAAGAGCACTGGCTGCTCTTCCAGAGGTCCTGAGTTCAATTCCCAGCACCCACGTGGTGGCTCATAACCATCTCAATGATTTGGTGCCCTCTTCTGGCATGCAGGTGTACATGTGGATAGGGCACTCATCTACATTAAATAAATAAATAAATAAATAAATAAATAAATAAATAAATAATAAGATGTAGAACTCTCAGCTCCTTCTCCAGCACCATGTCTGCCTGCACACCACCATGTCCTACCATGACTATAATGGACTAAACCTCCGAAACTGTAAGACAGCTAAAGTTAAATCTTTTCCTCATAAGAGCTGTTGTGGTCATGGTGTCTCTTTATGGCAATAGAAACCCTAACTAAGACACATACATGGCCTCTAAAATGTTAAAAAGAAAATTCCCAGCACTCAGGAGGCAGAGGCAGGAGGATGTCTGTGAGTTCGAGACCAGCCTGGTCTACAAAAGGAGTTCAGGACAGCCAGGGCTACACAGAGAAACCCTGTCTCAAACAACAACAAAATTCAAGTTACATATTAAAAAATTAAAGATTGTGTGTGTGTGTGTGTGTGTGTGTGTGTGTGTGTGTGTGTGTGTTACTGTTGGGTTTTTTGTTTTTGTTTTTGTTTTTTTAGCTTTTTGTGGCTTCTTGTTATCAATGAGAGTCCCTGGGGCTGCCCGCAGGAACACGTGTGGTGAGCAATTCAGCAGCTATACCACTGAAGAAAGCGTCTCCCTCCCACTAACTGCCTATAACTCCGTGGAGAGGAGCAGGGCCTCATGAAGCCCTGGCGCTCATTCTTCGCCCCTTCTCTATTTCCTGAGCAAGGGGACTGCGTGTCTGAGAGTTCACTCTGTTTACAAGGTGCTGAGATCCAATCCCGGACTTTGTGCACGCTGGGCAAACACTGCCAACTGAGACACATTCGCGGCTCCATTTCCTTCATTCTAACATTTCCTTCATTTTTTAAGCTAGCCACATTGATACATGCCTGTAATCCCGGGAAAATGAAGGCAGGAGGGTCATGAGTTCAGTTATTCTCAGCCATATACAAGTTTAAGGTCGGCCTGGGCCTACACAAAACCTTGCCTCCAAAATTAAATGATAGACGGATAATTGATAGTAGAACATAGATGATAGATAAATGATAGATGGTAGATAAATGATTGATAGATAGTAGACAGATCACAAGCTCTTGTTATCCCATTAACACTTTGCAGAAAGGAAAGCACCAGCAAGCAGAGAAACGTGGGCCGTCGCGAGGCAACTAAGGGGGCAACAGTGAGTGCTGAGTGGGGACCACTGCTGAGGGAATCTTAGTCCGTCCCCATACCTGCTCAATCAGAGTGTCTTGTCTGGAGTCCTGGTGTGTAAGCCATGGCCCTGTGTGCAAGCAGCATCGAGACAGAAGCCAAGTCACCTCCGGGAAGCGACCCTGTGCAATGTCGGTGAGGGGAGCCCGGAGGCACGCAGGGGCTGTTTGTTTGGGGGCTGTGGATGCTGGAGACTGGATCCAGGAGTCGGCCGTGCTCAGCGTGTGTTCTGCACTGAGCTTCATGAAGATTTCGACAAGAAGTTCAATAGCCGTAAAGAGGCTCACAACCGGGAATGCAAACTGGTACAACCACTTTGGAAGTCAATCTGGCTCTTACTCAGACAATTAGGAATAATAAAGATCCAGCTATACCACTCCTAGGTATATATCCAAAATATGCTCAAGTACACAACAATGACATTTGCTCAACCATGTTTGTAGCAGCTTTATTAGTAATAGCCAGAACCTGGAAACAACCCAGATGTCCCTCAACGGAGGAATGGATACAGAAACTGTGGTATTTTTACACAATGGAATACTACTCAGCAACCAAAAATGAGGAAATCATGAAATTTGCGGGCAAATGGTGGGATCTAGAAAAGATCATTCTGAGTGAGTTATCCGAGAAGGAGAAAGACACACATGGTATATACTCGCTTATATAGACCTATAAGATATGATAAACATAATGAAATCTATACACCTAAAAAAGATAAACAAGAAAGAAGACCCAGGGTAAGATGATCAGTCCTCACTTAGAAAGACAAATGGGATGCACATTGGACGTAGGAGAAAACAAGTAACAGGACAAGAGCCTACCACAGAGGGCCTCTGAAAGACTCTACCCAGCAGTGTATCAAAACAGATGCTGAGACTCATAACCAAACCTTGGGCAGAGTGCAGGGAATCATATGAAAGAAGGAGATTTAGTATGATGTGGAAAGGATAGGAGCTCCACAAGGACCAAATATATCTGGGCACAGGGTCTTTTCTGAGACTGACACTCCACCAAGGAGCATGCATGGATATAACCTAGAACCTCTGCTTGGATGTAGCCTGTGGTAGCTCAGTAACCAATTGGTTTTCCCTAGTAAGGGAACAGGGACTGTTTCTGACAGGAACTCAATGACTGGCTCTTTGACCTCCCCAACCCCCTAGGGAGGAGCAGTCCTGCTAGGCCACAAAGGAGGACTTTGCAGCCAGTCCTGAAGATACCTGATAAAACAGGGTCAGATGAAAGGGGAGAAGGTCCTCCCCAATCCGTGGACTTGGAAAGGGGCAGGGAGGAGATGAGGGAGGAAGGATGGGATTGGGAAGGAATGAGGGAGTGGGTACAGCTGGGATACAGAGTTAATAAAATGTAACTAATAATAAAAATAAAAATAAATAAATAAAAATCTAAAAAAAAAAAAAAGGTGCTCACCACCATTGTGCCAGTTGCAAGGGATCCAGTGCCCTCTTTTAGCCCATGCCAACATCAGGAATGTACATTGTACACATCCATACATGTGGGCAAACATTCGGACACATGAAAGGAAAACACGTCTTTGAATACATGATTTTAATGATGTGGTCTTATGCTGGGCATGAGGTAGACAGGAAAATGGAAGCAGAGCCTTGCACTGGGCAGGTTTCTGTCTCCTGAAATCAGAGAGCCAAGCACAACTTCTGTGGCAGACTCCCGAGGTTCACCTATGGCATGCACGTTCGGGATATTCATTTTTCCATTTTATGCTCTAAGCTTCCTTTGCATATCAGTGCAGCCCTGACCTGCGGGGACTCAGTGGCAGAACGCATGCTTGGTGTGTACAACCCTCCAAACAGACAGACACCGCTGTTTGTTCTGTTCTGTTTAGGACACGGTCTCCTGTGGTATGTGGCTGAGCTATGTGGCTAGGATGACTCTGAACTTCTGATCCTCCTACCCACCTGCAAAGCGCCTGGATCACACACACCACCTCGCCCAGCAGCCCTCTGGCTTCAGCATCCACTTCCCTTTGGCACCCTCAAGGAGATCAAATTCCCAATACCAAAATCAGAGTGAAGTTCACTGTTCGGAGTGCCAGCGTCCAACAGTGTGAGACAGTTAATTGCTAGCTGACATTTTAGGACCCACGGGATTATTGGGCTGGAAAACCAGAATGAAGTTTTACTTTATACTGCCATCTTGTGGCAGTACAGAGACATGGCAGCCTGCGTGGGACAGCTTGTCTTCTGGGTCTTTGTCCCTCTGTGTTATCACCTTTTACAGGAAGCGCTAAAAACACCCAGGAAGACTTTGGGGACCCCTTCCCTGCACCTGAACTCCCGGAGGAGGCACTTTCAACACCTCCATGTGTTCCTAATAGTTTTTATGGAGGCTGGGTTGTAGCTCAGTGGTAGAGACTTGCCTCCCATGGCAAAGGCCCAGTACCTCCAATTAAAAAAAAAATCAAACTCTACCACAAAACGCAAAGTTTATACTCACTGTTTCATTTTAAGTCCCACACATCCTGGGCGAGATCTGTCCTACCAATCACATGCCCAGTCCTCATTCTCACTTTTTATGCCCTGACCAATCTGCTCCAAGGTAAAAATTAGTGACTGCTGGTTAACAAGAATGCTGTTGTTGTTAATATGGGGAGCTGTGTGTGTGCGTGTGGGTATATGTACATGAGTTAGGTACCCAAGGAGGCCAGTGAGCGTTGGATCCCCTGAAGGAGAAGTTACGGTCGGCTGAAAGCTGCCGTGGGGGAATGCTAGGAACTGAATCCAAGTCCTCTGGAAGAGCCGCAAGTGCTCTTAACCACTGAGCCACCTCTGCAGCCCCAAGAATTCGGGAGGTGTTCTGAATTGTTTTTATTATTATTTACCTGTCTGAGTGTTCTGCCTGCGGTACACCTGCGTACCTCGTACATATGTGCCTGGTGCCTGGTGAGTCCGGAAGAGGGCGCTGGATCCCTAGATCTGGAGTTAGGGATGGCTGTGAGGCAGCACGGAGTGCTAGAAACTGGACCTGAGTATTCTGCAAGAACAGCAGTGCTCTTACGTGCGTGAGCTATCTCTTCAACACCCCGAGAGACTCCCGAGGCCTCGAACGCACTGGTCACCTCTAATGACCCTTCCTCAGGGAGGAGCACTAAGGATGGAGGAAGCTGCTGGACCATCAGCTTCCTCGCTAGAGGTGACCCACGAGATGAACACAGCGCTGTGCCAGCTCTGGTTTTGCCCTGAACAGGGAGGCAGAGGTAGGAAGAGTCCCAAGCTAGCCTGGGCTACACAGTGAGAACCAGGCCAATCTCAGCAGCCTAGTCAAAAAAAAAAAAAAAAAAAAAAAAAAAAAAAAAAAAAAAGCGGGGCTAGAAGAACTGGCTGTTCTTCCAAAGGTCCTGAGTTCAATTCCCAGCAACCACATGGTGGCTTCCAACCATCTACAATGAGATCTCGTGCTCTCTTCTGATGTGCAGGCACACATGCAGGCAGAATATTGCATAAATAATAAATAAACCTTAAAAAAAAAAAAAAAGCCAGACATGGTAGTGAACTCCAGAGACAGAAACAGACGGATCTCTGTGAGTTCAAAGCCAGCCTGGTCTACAAACTGAGTCCAGGACAACCAGGAATCTGTTACACAGAGAAACCCTAATCAAAAGCAAAACAAAAGGCAAACAAACAAACAAAAACACTAGTCCTTGTTGTCAATAGAAACAACTGCCAATGTTTCAGAGAAAAATAATGCAGATATACAAATACTATATTTGGCCTTAGTATGGTTTCTAAAGTATAATAGACATCCAGTAAATCTCATCTAGAATAAACACAAATTATAACTTTTTTCCCCATTTACAAATAACTTTAATTTAATTTAATTTTGGTCTGTTTTGTTTTCTTGAGGTAGGGTCTCACTGTGTAGCCTTGGCTGTCCTGGAACTTGTTCTGTAGACCAGGCTGGCTTTTTTCCCAGCTCACAGAGATCCACCTACCTCTGCCTCCCAAGTGCTGGGGTTAAAGGTGTGTGTCACATTGCCTGGCCCCTAGAAACATTTTTAATTGTCTTAATGGGGGAAGAATGATTGCTATCTAGAGGACAGAAGCCAAGGATAGTGGTAAAACCTTCTAAGGTACACACCTTCACCCTCAACAAAAAAGTATGACAGCGTACTTTTGAAAAAAACTTGTCCTAAAACTGAACACATGTGCACATTCACGTGATCAAGCATGGCTGCTCACACACACATGCTCACACACACTCACACCTCAACAGTAACAAAACAAAAAGGTGGGAGTGGTGACACACACCTTTAATGCCGGCACTCAAGCGGCAGAGTGGGTGGGTCTCTGGGAGTCTGAGGTCGGCCTGGTCTGCACAGCGAGCTCCAGGACAGCCAGGTCCTTGCATAGTGGGAACGTGGGACTCTGCCAGCCCAGAATGTGTGGCTGCTAACACAAGCTGTGTCTCTCCCAGCAGAGCAAGCTTGCCTGCCAACAAGGCACTACCCTCCAGTACCCCAGCGCTCTGACCTCTGCAATTTTTGTTTTATTTGTTTGTTTGTTTAAAACTTTTTACATTTATTTGGGACATGAAGATCAAAGAGGTCAGAGGACAATTCCAGGAGTCAGTTCTCTCCTTTACTGTGTGCATCCAGAGATCAAACTCAAGTCATCAAGTCTGGTGGTGAGCATCCTTACTGACGGAGCCATCTTGCCACTCCTCCTTCCTTTTTGCTTAGACAGGCAGCAAAGCATGTTGTCTCGGTTTCCAGAATAATGGCCTGCATCTGGCTGGTTTTCACCTTTATCATGTTAGTGTGTCTACTTTGTTTTTTATTTCTATATATTTTCTGTGTTTTGATATACTTCCTTACTGTTGAACTATAAGCATCTGTGGACATCATTAATTTGTCGCTATAGCTGATTAAAATAGCTCTGGCTGGCCTGGAACTTCTTTATTGTAGACCAGGCTGGCCAGGAACTCTGCCTCCCTAGTGCTGAAATTAAAATATCTATCTATCTATCTATCTATCTATCTATCTATCTATCTATCTATCTGCCTGTTTTGGAGACAGGGTTTCTCTGTGTAGTTCTGGCTGTCCTACAACACACTCTGTAGACCAGGCTGGCCTTGAACTCAGAGATTTGCCGGCCTCTGCCTCCCTAATGCTGGGATTAAAGGCATGAGCTACCATGCCCAGCTTTGAATATCTATTTTTAAAGTATTAATTTCTTTTTAACTATCTGTACCATCTTTTGTCTAACCTTTAATATGTCTTTGCCTTTATCTTATATGTAATATTATAAGTTCCTTGTCAGGAATTTTCAAGAGATAAATGTCTTGAAAACAAAATAGGATATCATAAAAGCTCTTGGGATTTTATTTTTCAAGACTGTTCATTTTCTTTACACAACTTGTGCTGTTTTTGAGACGCAGTCCCATGTGGCCCAGGATGGCTTGGGACTTGCTAGGTAGCTGGGTATGAGCTTTAACCCCTGATTACAGTGGTGCCCCACCACTTCTGGTTTATGTTGGGCTAGAGGTCAAACCCAGGGCTGCCGTCACACGGGTGAGATCCATCCTCAAGCCCCACACCGCCTTTTATCAAGTAGTCAAAAGGCTCAAAATGCAGAGTATAGCCTACACCTGTACACCAAGCTTTCTGATCAACTCAGTCAAACCATTTTCAGTTCTACTTATTGACTGCCATTACACATAAAACATAAAAGCTATATGTCTTTAAGGGCACCAACAATGTTCTGATATAGTCAAAATTTAAATAAGTTTTTAAAAGACAAGGTAAAACACCACAAAAATTCATTAAGTGAGTTCTAGGACAGCCAGGGCTACATAGAGAAACCCTGTCTCAAAAAAACAAAAGAGAGAGAGAGGAAAAAAAATTCTTCAACTCCAGTGTTTATTGATGTTAGTGTTCTGTAGATAATCAAAGTTATGAAACAACACAAAGTATTGTTATCTGGTGAAAACTATATATTTAAACCACTCACAATTCAATGATATTATGGAGGTACATAGACTATGTCTCAAATAAATACATATATGCGAGGTGGTGGTGGCACACGCCTTTAATCCGAGCACTTGGGAGGCAGAGGCAGGGGGATCTGTGTGAGTTCAGGGCCATCCTGGTCTACAGAGTTCCAGAACAGCCAGGGCTGTTACAAAAAAGAAACCCTACCTGAAAAAAAAAAGTATATATATTCACATGTGTGTGTGTGTGTGTGTGTGTGTGTGTGTGTGAATGACAAAGCTGTACTTAATTGTTTTGACAGAAATCTGTGCTTGCCAGATTGATTCTAAAGAAGATTCCAAATTTGGAATCTGGTTGCTAATTATTCTCTCACTAATCTTTCCAAGCTGTTGTATTACTAGATAAAACCTGGTAATTCCTGGGCCCTCGACATCTGGTGGGAGGCAACGAGATGAACGGTGCCTCTCTAGCCCAGATAATCGACTCCTTTATGCTAACTGCTCTGAGGAGAAGGTAAGATTTAGTTTGGTTTATTTTTCGAGGCAGTTCTCTTTATTAGCCCAGACTGACCTCAGACTCATTATCCTCCTGCTGTAGCTGCTTCCTATTTTTTTTCTTTTTTTTTGGCTACAGTTACCTTTTATGTGAAAATGTCTTTGTGTGTGTGTGTGTGTGTGTGTGTGTGTGTGTGTACGTAGAGGTCAGAGGGCACTTGTAGGCACCCTGTTCTTTCCTTCCCTGTGGAGCCAGGAGGTGAGGCCTGGCAGCAGGCTCCTTCACTCCCTGAGCCACCTCACCGGCCCCACGGTGCATGTGTGGAGCCGAAGGACAGTTTTTAACAGTCGGCTCCCTCTTTTCACCATGTGAAGGACAGTTTGTAACA